CCCTCGTGTGCCGTGCCGGCCTTCACAGGTGCTCGCTAACTTGCCCCAACAGTCTGTTGAGGTTACACGGGGGATGTTTTTTGTACATATATACATATAGTTTATATGTAGGAGTTTCTCATGATACAACACGGTATTTCGCTTCGGAATCCTACCTTTTGTAAATAATTTGTACAAACATTTTGTTTGACAAAATTGAAATGAAAGTCACGAAACTGTAATGACAACGGAGATATGATCATTATGATTACTATAACATGAAAATACGCGAATCAAGAGTGAAGGAAGCGAGTTTTCATTGCCGCGTGATAAAATACCGGTAGTTCTGCTGCTGTGATGTACTCAACATCGGATATAATATTACAACATTCTTGGCAATATGTACAATTACGAAATTGTAAATTGTGAATTTCCAAAATTGTGATTGTACACGTTTGTAAGATTTATTTGATGAAATTATACCAAACATTACATCTGTCGTGTTCCACGGTGCCTTCCCTCCTGCAGTGAGTTTGTATTTTATTGTAAACATTGTAACTTCATTACCACTTTATTTTCTTTGTATAATACAGAATCAGTAATATAGTATCAGGGTTTCTCTTTAATTACACATGTTTTCAATAGTGTAAAGTGTATAGATGATGTAATGAAAACAATGCATTAGGAGTAAACAATAACATTCAGTGTAAATCCTCCCAGCTGTGTATATTTTTTTGTGTTAATGTAAATGTCTGGAACTTGGGTTGGACACAATCCATCATTCTTTCTGGGTCATTAAATTAGTACCACTTTATGGGAAGCCAAATAATGATTGTAAAGGTGCAATAAAGAATAATTTAATCGATTACAGTACAATATGAAGTATTTTGCTCACCATACAGGCATTGAATGACAAGATTAATGTAAATGTTATATGTAATAGGTTCACGTGAAACCTCCAGCCACTGTAGGACGCTACATTTGCCATAATGTAAAAAATCTTCTTAAATATAAGTGGCTCTGAATTGTGACAATTCGTTGTTATTGAAAGGGTGGCGAATCCTGACACCGTTTGGCTATGTATATATAAGCGTACGTTTCACACGTGGCACTGTTCTGCGTAATTACTGATGATATCTGAACTTCGCTCTATTACTTTGGACTCGACTGTCGGCCACTTTTCTACTCGATTGTGCACTGCTGTGTTCACCAGCCGTTGTGTCATCTCTTTACATTCTACTCCAGATCGCCTGGCAGACACTCATCTCAAACGGCTCTTGCGCCTGGTTCTTAGTAAACTTCATCTTGGGAAATTCCCCCCAAAAATTTCCGTGCCAATAATTACCAATGCCGTAATGACCAATACAGCACGTGTGTGCGTGTGTGTACAATCCCACAGTTCAACAGAGGCAATACAGCACGCAGTGTGCGTGTGTGTGCAATCCCACAGTTCAACAGAGGCACGCGGTGTGATCCTGCCTCGTATCCATTGTCCAGCTGCTCGTCTCACAATCCTTTTGGCCACGCGCTTACACACTTAGCAGACTTTGACAATTCCATGACAAACCATCTGAATAATATCACAGCTGTCAACCCATACGATTTACCCCGTATTCTTGTACAGGGAAATTGAGTTTTCAGGTCCATACGGCGTACGTCCGTTTCAAAACGGGCAACATTTTTTTAGTCTTATTTGTTTGTGTTTCTCCCTCGTGATGGGACTTTGTAGGATGAACGTTGAGATTTATCAGGTGCACGGGTTGAGCAATACGGTCTGAATCGGTCTGTAATCAGGTCGGCACTGATTAGGGGTTGACAGGTTTTTGATATTTATACGCCAAAGATGGTTGTTGACACCCGAACATCTAAAGTTGCGTCATTGTTAGAAACGTTTCATTATTACTGCATCATCATCAGCCGTGCTCGAGCCACTGCTGGATGAAGGCATCCCCAAGGCAGCTCCAACCAAACAGACGAGCAAGCCAGGACGAGGAAGGTCTCTCGACGATCGACCATAAACGTGCATGCAGTCCTGTACCATTTAATCCGGTTCTGGAAAAACTCATCAACGTCAATCATCGATGAAAGATGATCAGTCGTACGCATACAGATGCATCCTTGTCATTGGGGCACTGCTTTGGAAGCAGTTTTCAGCCACAGTACCAATCCCAGCGCAGAGTGTGGGGCCTGTGCCCCGCATCTGGCCATGTAGGGGCAGCGCCGTGTCTACCGAGCGATATTTTGTATATTTTGGGTTTATCGTTCTTCCAGGAAAGTCGCGATGTTTGTGCGCGGATGAAGGGCCGCGAAACCTCCGACTTTAACTCGGATCTCGTTCCCAGCCTCCCCATTGGTCCGCGCGCTCACCCAGCCGCGATTACATTTAATGTTTACATTTAATCGCGGCGACATCGACATTGAGGTTGATTACATTGTACAGGTTGATTTAAAATAACGATACACGAATGCTTTTTGCTGAGAGGGAAATACTAATCTTGATATTATGGCCTGTTGACTTTCTTGAAGGTATTTGAATGTTAGTTTGCCTAATTTAAAGAAATAAAAACCAACTCTCCTGCAATTGGCTTCTCAGCATTCCAGCTGGGTGTTATATGTCAGTTCCCCCGCACGCTCCGATTAGTGCGGTTGGCTACATACGGTGCGAAGGAAGTTAAACACGCGGCACGTTCGAATCCTGGGGATCGTGGTCGATTCAGCCGAGAACCTTTCTCTGGCATCGCTAAAATGAACGACTTTGTGATTTAAAGGGCAGAGTGGAGGTGCTACGGAGAGGCTGGTATCCAACACTGAACAGTCACCACCGTCGGAGAGCAGCAGCAGCACCACCGCACACCCAACGGGACACTTTTATTTTCATTCAGATCCCAGCTCTCCATCGGTCGCTGCATTTCCTGCCGAGCCAGTCGGCCAGGGAGGCGACGGTTTGATTCCTGCTGCCGCTGCCGCGCCTGTACTCCTCTGCGGTGAATCACTCTCTGATGCAAGGGGGACCGTGGGCGATTAGAGCGAGGGAGAACATCGGTTGAACGCAGCGCGAGTCGGTGCCCATGAAGGGGAGCGAGCGAAGGGAGAACGCGTTGCGCCGTGAGCATCGCTCGACCCCTGTACGCGGAGGCGGTGGATATTGTTTATGGAGGGGGCTGCAACGCCTTTCCTCGCCCTCCCGTCTTGGCATCTGCGATCAATGTCGCCGCGGTCCACTGGCCGTGACACCTGACACGCGTTACACACCTTGCTGAGCTCATCAAGGAGCATGAACCATCCTCGCAGCGGCTTTTCGCGAGCCATCCAACAGAGAGGGTCACTGCATCGCGCGCTTTCAGGTGCGCTTCTGCGGCCGTCTGGAACGCTCTTCTGATATTAGGAAGCCACTGGAGCTGTGCACTTTTAAATCATCTGGATTGGAAACTCATTTCCTTCAAACTGCTTTTTGTGTTTAGTTTGTTGTCCTTCCCTCGCACCTCCGATTAGCAAGGTTGGCTACGTACAGTGCGAAATAAGTTCAACGTACATACACGCAAGGACAAGCCATTGTGCATTGTCATGGCCTAAATCTTGATTTGAAGCTTTCGTGACTGCAGGAATCCATACTCTTTGCTCTTGGTTCTTTCGGTAAAGTCACGAAGGTAGAAACATAAAATAACAAATAATTGAATTATTTTTTACAATTTTTATTTTTCTTTATTATTTTATTTTTCTACCGACGTGACTTTACCGAAAGAACCAAAGAGCATGGCCTAAATGTTGAACCTTAAAATTATCCAACCAATTAAAAAAAAAATCTTTAAAAGAGAAAATGAATATTAATGGTCTTTCAAGCAGTTAAATAAATGATATTATAAATAAGTAAATGTAGCTAAATACAAATTGCGTACAGATGGCCCTAAACCAGGCTTGTAGGATGGGAATCATCTGCCAAGCTCGAGGGTTTGAATGTACGGGTAGATTGAAAAAAATAAATGATTAATTTTCTCCTCTGTTTATTATCGTTTACAATCAGCACTTCCACAAAAACAAAATAACTGCTTGAAATATTTCCCTGCTCGTGATATTCTTGGCTCACGATCGTTTCTCGGGAAGATTAGCGCCAATGTCTAACAGATGGCACTGTGCAGCCCTCTTACTCCGACACCCATTCACAGGTACTGCCACGACTCTCCCCCCCCCCCCCGTGGTGTGCTCGACAGCTCACTTGTGCGGCGGGACCGGGTCACGTGGTCTCTTCAGCAACTTTTAGAATCCCCAAATGAGGCCAAAACGACCACAGATTTGCGATAAGTCGGGATGTCGTGCGAGTGCGACATCCTGAACCGAACAGAGTGATATTTATTTTGGACACTTTATTTTTTAATCACCGGTAAACCAGATGATAATCACCAGCAACTGACAATTCTGAAGCTTCCGCATTCTCAAGTCTGCAAAGTCGGTGACAGGTTTGTGAACATGTACGTCATTCCCATATCACCACCATCCTCCCAGCAACATTCAGCTCTAACGAGATCTAAAAAAAAAATGTATCCCAGCAAATGATTGCCATGACCAGGAATGTGTTATGCCAATCCAATACATGAATGTAAGCATGCTGCACTGATACGGTCAACTGCAGCATGGAGACAGCTGTAGCCAGACAGGTGTAGCTGTGCATTGGTGGTGGCTAAACCACACCGACTACACACACATCCTGCGTTGGGCTCACACAATCCTGCACATTCTCCGTAAGGCAGTGTGTGTGCATCTTAAGAGGCTGACTGACGTGTTAGGACATGCTATCCCCATGGCATTGTTGAAGAATACGAGCCACCGTTCCCATCACCAACAATGGGGCCGCAAAGTCACGCAGGTGATGTGTTCCGGTCATTTCGTAGAAAATAATGAATTGGGCCCTACGTTTCACCCTCAAGTGGATTTCCCTGATGGGACGTAATTTGGGACCCAAATGTGGGGCCCAAATATTCTCAAGTCTGTAAAAGCGGCTTAAACATGTTGTGAGCGACTCTGTGTAGATACATATCTCTCGGGACATTTCATTCCAACAAACTGATTTCAAACCACATCGTCAAGCATCAAACCACTCATCGGTGACCGGGCCGGCACCGCCAACTCGCTGCACTCGAGTAGAACCCGGTTCAATCCTGGGCAGTGGCTCGAACCCGGATTCAAACCCGGATTCAAACCCAGGGCCCGCGAGCTACGGAGAGGCTGGTACCCAACACCGAGCAGTCACCACCACCGGAGAGCAGCAGCAGCAGCACCGCACACTCAACGGGACCCGCCCCCCCCACCCCGCTCCTTGTGTGTCGCCGCCGCCGCCGCTCAGGAGGTGAGCGTGGAGGCGTCGACCTCTTGGAGTCCGTCGAGCGCCCCGGCGCGGAGCGCGTGCAGGCGCAGCATGTCGGCCTCCAGGGGGTGCAGCTGCCCCGTGACCACGAGCGAGTGCAGCGGGCCGCCCAGCTCGGCGCCCGCCAGCTCCGAGAGAGGCGCCGCCGCGATGCGCTGCGTCTCAGAGCCGACGCGGGCCAGGCCCACGCACACCGTCGCCTCGCTCAGCGCTGACGGCGCCAGCGGGGACACATGGAGAGACACAGAGAGACAGAGAGAGAGAGCGTTAGAGAGAGACACAGAGAGAGTTAGAGAGAGAGAGAGACAGAGAGAAACACAGAGAGAGAAAGACAGACAGAGACAGACAAAGAGACAGAGAGAGACAGAGAGAGGGAGCTAGAGAGAGACAAAGAGTGAGCCAGAGAGAGACAAAGAGAGAGAGTTAGAGAGAGAGGCAGAGAGAGAGAGACATGTCGGTCGTCTATTATAAAACGATCGTCACCAGCCCTGCTCCAAGTGTCGCGTGAATCAAACGTGCCGAGTCGATTCGCGCTTCAGCAGCCCCCCCCTGGTGTTGTTGTTGGAGACCAATCTCAACACGTTGACATGGGTGCGACGTTCCGCTGGAGACTCCATCCAGCACCTAACGATTAGCACGGTTGGGTACGTACGGCGCGAACCAAGTTCAACATACACACACGATGCTGCCGCTGCTGACGACGACGACGACGACGAGGCCGACGCTGCAGAGTATCGGCTGCGAGGTGTGCCGATGTGCGTGTCGGCAGAATGAATGAAACTTCTCTGTGTGTGGCACACAGAGAAGAACCGTGACCAAACACGGCGCGCCTTTGCCTCCCTACGACGTTGACCACACACTGCAGCTGTTCACTTTAAGCCAAAACAACATCGAATAAATCAAACTCTGATTCCGATACTAATTACGACTCAATGTGCATGACCAGGAATTCGAACGTGGGTCGCGAGGATTGCAGCGCGGTACACTCACCGCCGTGCAACCGTTTCCCACGCGCACACACACGCACACGCGTGGGCACAAGTGCATTCCCAACACACAAGCACACGCACAATGCTCTGCTGGCACGACGCCCACACAAGGAATGCGCACGCAACATGTGGAGCACACGGGTCGCAGAGCGCATGTGGGGTTCTCACGGCGACGACGCGTACACACACACACACACATGTGCACGCACGTGGAATGTGCCCCGAACACATGGGACTGCACGCGCGCACACCCACACGTGCCAATTACACACACACACACACACGTGCCCGTGCACACAACACACACATACGCACCCAAAGTCAAAGGCACAGATCCCCCAAATTGCATTATCGACTTTTGGGGCAGGTGTCGTTAGCGAGCACCTATTTAAGGGCCGAACGGCACACGAGAGCTTTGTGTGACGAGCAGCACGCCCGGCCGCCTTTGTCTCCCAAACGCTGATGTTTACACACTGTACCAGGTACTCGTTTAAGGCTGAGTCAACCTAGGCGACGCCTTTGCCGGTATGTATTGCAGCGCGCTAACCACTACACTTTAATTCTAGATTTGAAGCTTTCGTGATTGCAAGCATTCATACTTTTAGTTTTTTCGGTAAAGTCACATAGGTGAAGTCACATAGGTGACTTTACCAAAAAAACTAAGAGTATGAACCACTACACGACCAGCTCCCCACGAACACACTCCCCCGCACACGCAGCCACAGACGCATGCCGTGCGCCTGACAGCACGCGCACGCTCGCCCCCACAAATGCCTGCTCTCGATTTGCATACGGTTGAGGAAATTTCTGTCGGGGAGTTCCGACGCGAACACGCGAGGGCGTTCGCGGGGCCCGCACTATGCACGGCCACCTTTGGCTCCCCATTCGCGATGGTGTTGGAAAACACGGAGGCTTTCGCGCCCAATATCATCCATAAAAACTGTTTTTTTTTGGGTTAGATCGCGTGAATATATAGATGTGTTGTTAAACCCGCCAGCCACAATCTGGCTGTCGCCTGATGAAGCTAGTTGTAATTACTGGCGAAAGTTCATACTCGGATTGTAAATGTTGTGGCTTGGCTCTCCAACACACCGGTGTGCTGTACTAGTGATGAATCGGCACGTTCTGTTTACGTGACAAACCTTACTAGTTGGCTGTGTCGGGTATTGGCGGGTTTAACGACACATTTATATATTTACGCGATCTAACCCAAAAAAAAACCTCTATTATAGCAATGGTATTGTGAGCACAGCATCAAGCGCTCATTTTAGACTACCTAGGGGAAGCCCGTGCCCAATTCAGATACCAGCTGCACATGATGCGCGAAGAACTAGCCCACACAGCACAGCGGGGAAAACGTCGAAGCCGCCACCGCTGGCTGGCACGTGAAAACACGTTCATACGCAAAGTAAAAGCCAAAGATCCCCCGTGTAGCCTTAACAGACTGTTGGGGATCGTGCTGTGAGCGAACAGCACCTATGAAGTCTGGCGTGGCACACGAGGGGGTACGGGTGGGCAGCGCCACGCCAATCCGCCTTTGTCTCCCCAATGCACATGTTTACGCAACACCCCAGGATAATCACTTATGGCTGAGTTGACCTAGTGGAGGCCCAAGACCGGTTCAGATATATTCGCTGCTGTTATTGGCCATGAGCGGGAATCGAACTCGGCTCACCTGGTTCGTAGCGCAGTGCGCTAACCACTGCACGACCGCTCCCCGTGAAGCTCACTCATAAGAACACAAACAACGAAACCTAACCCGGTTGAGCGACCTCCTTTTGAAATCGTCGTCGTCGTCGTCAGCCCGACGATATGAGGCTCACACAGCGGCACACCGCCTCCCACCGGCAGAGCTCCAGGCGCCAAACATCAACCTCGCAACATGGCAGCAATTACTGGCACAGGAATTAATCGATACGAGCTGCGGATGCTGCCGTGAGAGTATTTATTGGCCCGGCTAATTTAACGGGGGCCGTTAATTTGGCCGCGAGGCCAGCTCACAACCGCCTAGAACTCCATCTTTCTTTTTACAATGGCGAGCAATCGGCGTTTGTTCCCGGTTCGCGTGAGACGGGGCAGGAACTCGTGAGCGTTTGACAAATACGGCCTGCCGTGAGGTCTCGTTGAACGGAATGTTTATAAACTCACGTCAGTTCAATGAAATGAGCGGCGGATATTCGTATTCGCTTACACCGTATTTATAACAAGAGTTATTTTTAACACAGCGATCGCGTGTGCACCTTTAAATCAAAACTATATAAATTAATAATTTTGCCACGAGATTTCAATTGAACCATTGTTCAGCAATGCAACGATTTTTTTCGCGTAACATTGAGACGACGGAACGAAGGCCGAAGTGTGCAAAAGAACCGTGGGAGAGATGCATTCTGGGAGTTACACTGATACATAAAGAGAAACCCAGCGGCCAGAGAGCACGTGCCAGTGAGATGCGCCGCGTCCACCGTCAGTCGGTAAGTGGGTCAGGACACGTGACCGGACGAGACGTTGTGGAGGTGGTCAAGACGACCGACGGAGTGAGTGGCAGCCTGATCGGGCTGCCACTCACCTTGGAGGTGGAGGAGCTAGACGGATTATCGCATCGCAAGACCATGACAGAGAGGGACGTTTTGGGGAAGCCTTCATCCAGCAGTGGATAGATCATGGCTGATATGTGTTTGTGTGATGAACAAATTGAACACCTCAACATTTTTTTTACTGTCAATGTAAGGGGGGGGGGGGAGGCATTTCTCTGCAAAGAGGTTCTGCATGAAGTCGTGAAAGCTCCACACGAAGCGAACGTGTCGGGTGTGCACGTGAGAGGTTGGCGAAGGAGCTTGTGAGCGAGTGTGAGAGTGAGCTGGGTGTTTGAGTTGACGGGTGAACTGGGGAGTGTGTGGCTGGGCTAGTTACTAACAGGGTGGGTGAACTGTTGGGTGGCTGGGCGAGTGAGCGTATGGGTGAGTGAGCGTATGGGTGAGTGAGCGTATGGGTGAGTGAGCGTATGGGTGAGTGAGCGTAGGGGTGAGCGTAGGGGTGGGTGAGCGAATGGGTGAGTGAGCGTATGGGTGAGTGAGCGTATGGGTCAGTGAGCGTATGGGTGAGTGAGCGTATGGGTGAGTGAGGGTAGGGGAGAGCGTAGGGGTGAGTGAACATAGGGGTGAGTGAGCGTAGGGGTGAGTGGGCAGTGTAGAGCGGTAGTGTCGCGGTTAGTGCTCTGTGCTACGAATTTGACGAACCGAGTTCGATTCCCGCTCACGGGCAACACCAGTGACGAATATCTGAACCGGTTCTGGGCCTCCCCGAGGTTGACTCAGCCTCAAATGAGTAGCTGGTGTAGCGGTGTGTAAACATCACCACTGGGGAAACAAAGGCGGCTGGGCGTGGTGCTGGCCACCCACCCCCTCGTGTGCCGTGCCGCCCTTCATAGGTGCTCGCTAACAGCACTTGCCCCAACAGTCTGTTAAGGCCATACAGGGGATCTTTGTTGTAAGTGGCTGAACGAGTGAGTGGGTGAGCGAATGGATAAAAGCGTGGTCAGCTCAGCACGTGAGTGAACCTATGGGAAAGTGAATAAGTAGGTGCGGTATTTGTGGGTAAGTGAGCGTGTGGGTAAGTGGGCGAGTAAACAAGTGGTTGAGTGGATGGAGAAGCAGTTGATTGGATGTGGTGATCGGTTGAGTGAGCAAATACAATAATACTTGCATTCATATTGCGCTCGAGCAGTCGTGTGGGCGAGCAGTCGTGTGGATGAGTGTGTGGGTGAGTGTGTGGGTGAGCGTGTGTGTGAGTGTGTGGGTGAGTGTGTGGGTGAGCGTGTGAGTGAGCGTGTGGGTGAGCGAGCACACTCACGGACGGGGTCTCGGCGCTCCCGCCGGTTGTGCACGATCTCGAGCAGCTGCTCGGCCGCCTGGCTCACAGTCATGAAGCGCGGCGGCTCAAACACGCGGCGGCCCCTGCACACACACACACACATGCACACACACACACACACGGACACAAAGATCCCCCTATAGCCTTAAGAGACTGTTGGGGCAAGTGCTGTTTGCGAGCACCTATGAAAGCCGGCACGGTACACGAGGGGGTGGGTGGCCAGCACCACGCCCGGCCGCCTTTGTCTCCCCAGTGGTGATGTTTACACATCGCACCAGGCACTCATTTGAGTTTGAGTAGACCTAGAGGAGGCCTTGGACCAGTTCAAATAATCGTCACTGGTGTTGGCGCCACACGCACACATATACACACACGCACGTACACACCCCCGCGATAGCATGCGTGAGCATCAATGATTTATAACTTAGAACATTTCAATGTAAACGTTACCTTAAGACTAATGGGTGCAAGACAGAACCAAAAACACACCAAACGAGACAGATTAAAAAATAAATTGTTGAATGGCATTGCGACGAGAGTTGGGAGTTGAACCTTCACTTCACTACTGCTGGGGAGGAGGGTTTTGTGTTTTTTTTCTGCGTCCCCCAGTTTCTTCCCACGTGACATAAACACCAAACGACGATTTGGCCAAACATCACAAGGTCCTCTTGAAAAAGATCTGAAGCCGTGCAGCTTTACTGCACAAACAAATAACATCGTGTGTATTCGCGCGCTGTGTGTGCGTGCGTGCGCCAAACTCGGACAATCCAATGTGCAGGCGTCAGAGAGAAACAAAACACAATCTGCACCATGGGACCTTTTTGCCAGTATCAAAGTATGACAAATAAAAACAGGTTTTACCCTTTCTGGCAACGCAACAGATGTTGAGATGTACAAACTTTGTGGAAGGAATCACGTCTGCATTAACCACACACAGCACTGTGTGGTGAATATGCAGACACATCATCAGAGCGTGTTTGTTTACGTGTTCACCACTAGCACATGTGGTCAACGCAGACTTGATTCCTCGCGAAAGGTTTCTATTTGGTGTTTGAACATCTTAACACCTGTTGTGTTGCCAGAAAGGATAAAAAAAAATCTTATTTTTCATATAAAATCTGTTTATTCTTCCGGATTGAGGGAGCAGCAAGTGGCGTTATCGAGCGCCTTGTACAGCCAGCGGGGCGCACGCGTGAGAGCGATCGACCACACGCCGCTCACTCCGCCATGTTGGCATCGCGGTAACGACGTTGACACTCGATATCAGGTAATCACCAAAGGTTGAGCTGACCTATCGGGGCAAATCAGGCCAGCTTCAGTAACCAAATGCCACTGATTTCTGCATTGACAGAAATGTGACCTCCTCTAGCGTTGGGATCACGTTGCAACGCGTTAACCAACGCTCCTCCACTCCCCCAACACGCACAGTCAAGCGATACGACCATTCACGTTCCTTTTATCAACATAAAGCGTTGGTGTTGGTGCCCGGTCTTATCTAACATCCACTCCCAGTGTTGTGTAATCTTCCTAACACCTGGATACAAATGATTTGCACCGGTACGAGGAAGTGTGTTTTAATGCTGACGGCAGGGAAATATTTGCCTCGGTGTGTCGCGCAGCGCATGGTTTTGCAGCGGGGCGGACAGGGAGGATGCAAGCTCCGTATTGCGCAGCTGCACGGGCCGATCACGAGTTTGCCTGCTTCAGCGAATGCTGTTGGCAAGCAGTTTCGGGAAGCCGACAGAATGATGGACAAAACATGAGCAAGAACTAGGTCAAAATCTTGATTTATATTTATTTTGTTATATAACTAAGTAATCTGTAATCAGGATTGTAAGGAAGACATTACTAACAGTCTGCCCCCTTGCCCGGACGTGGTGTACACACACCGACCGCCCGTGTATCCGGGTGGCCGGTCTGCTTTCGTTGTGAATCCTTACGGCAGAGCAGAACGCGAGTGCACTTATATCGGGGAAACACGTTTCCTCCTGCAAACAACGTTTTTGCTTCCCAGTGTTCCGGGGTGTTTCTCTTACTCACATGTGCAAGCCTAACCCTTACCTGGAAGTCACGTGACTCACCTCATCATGTTTTCCACCGACTGCTCCTTAACTTTAATATCTGCAGTGAAAAAAAACAAAAACCGCCTCCAACTCAGGCAACAACAACAATAATAATTCTACAAATGCGCAATCTTAACACTCTACGACGCTACACAGCAGGAACATACTTGAATGCATAGACGTGTGGAAGATTGCGCTCTGATTGATCACGTGACTCGTGTGATGTATCATGACAGGGTGAAGTTAAGGTGTTTTTCAGACAGTTTAAGTAAATTTTTGTTACATTGCGGAATGTTTTATATTCTTTTTATTTGATTCCTCTTGTTGAGTTAATAAAAAAGGGAATCTTTACGATTCAGGCTCATCATGATTTCATACTAGAACTGATTTATTGTTTTTGTTGACCCCGTCGTGAATGACCGCTCCCGCAGTGGATGCAGCGTGTGACATGAACCCAACAGACACAACTTGCACTCACGGGAACACTCAGATTCGTGCAGCGTCCTTCAAGAAAGCTGCTCCTCTGTGCCACACACACTCAACACAGCCTAGCGCTGCTCCGTTCTTGAAAACACAACCACACGTAATAGACAGAGCCCTCCGATGCGTGATCGGGTTGCACCACGACGCTCCTCCGCCGCTCAGCCGGGAGAGGGCGGGACGTCGGAACGTCGGACACCACGGCGGAGCGTGACGGCGCGCGAGGCCACGCCGGAGTGACCGCGAGCGTGGACGCTGGTTCGCGAGCGGCGAAGCGTACCGAGCAGACACAGGGTGTGGAAGCCCATCTCGCGGTTGCGGGCGATCTTGTCGTAGAAGCTCTCCGGCCTCCACGAGTCGGTCCAGAACACTACCGACACAGTCTCCCCGAAATTGTACAGCTGCAAAGGCACAACGGACAGGCAACGAGTCCAGCTACAAACACAAGGATGGAGCAGTACCCCGACGTAGCCCGTCGTACACCGTTCTGGGCAAGCGCAGTTTAAAAAAACGTACTGAGATTAAATGCAGAGCCCTTTGTCAATCCACTGCCGAATGAAGTCCTGGCCATGCCTCTCGGTCCGGGGGGCTGTCTAACCATACTTCACCACGCTGGTCAGTGTGCACTCTTGAAAGGGTGTGCCCTGGACCGGTTCGTGGCCACTGGTGGCTCTCGTGACCGGAAATCGATTTCGGGATTTGTAGCGCGGCGCGCAAACCGCACGCGCGCGCTCATAATCACAAGAAAATAAACACTTCCATTATTTAATTAAAACTCTCGACCAGGTCAGAGCACGAAGAGATGGAATCTTTTTACGGATGATATGTTTACCCTGAGGCCCAACATTGAGGCTTACATCTTTTCGCTTCATTGGGCAACCTCCCTAAGCCAACAAAAGCTTTTACTATTATTGGAAATCGGGCTCAGCCAGAATCAACACGGAAGGCTGCGTATCTGAAAGTGCAGCTCAAGGAGAAACATCATAAGCAGGCGGAGGAAGAAGGAGGATACCAATGATATTTTATTGACTCAGCTTCAATCCCAGATAAAGCAGCGGGGCTCCCGCGTGGACCCTGAAGGTTTCGGCCTCGTCACCGCGCACAGCACTGAAAGGATATTAAAAATAGTTTTTTCATTTAATGCCGCAAGCTAGCGGCTTATTAAGGTGACCACTTGGCTCACCCACGTTGCTGGCGGTTGTGGCGGCAGATGCCTTCACGGCGCCCGTGGCGTTGCCTCGGGGTGCTGTGCACTGCGACGGCTTCCCACGGAGACTTTAGAAGTGGAAAAACACATATTTGTGCCTAGATACCATTATCCACATTTCGGACAGAGTATATTTTAGAAAGGGGAGCCCTATATCATTATATCTTTGGGGAAATATGACTTTGTAACGAAGAGGAAATTACGAGCGTGGCCGGCGTGGCTTGTCGCGGTGGCTTGTGGCTCGAGCCCAGTGGCCGTCCTGGTTAATCCTTTGGGCTCTAGTCACCAAGAAAATAAACACAGACACACACGCAGCCTGCTTCACAATGGACGTTCAAGAACCCATGACAATCTAAAAAAAGAAGAGCAGGCGATGCGTGCCGTCACAGCATTGTGCTTCTCAGTGTGAGGTGCGCGGTGCACCACGCACACGCGTGACCTGCACGGTGCACTGCACACGCGTGACCTGCTCGATGCATCACACACGCGTTACCTGCACGGTGCACCGCACACGTGTGATCTAAACGGTGCACCGCACACACGTGACCTGCACAGTGCACCGCACACGTGTGATCTAAACGGTGCACCACACACACGCGTGACCTGGAGCGGGGTACATCCTGTGCTAAAAATAAAAACCTGGAGAAATCCACACATGAAGGTTTGCCTTATCTCTCCTACTTAGATTTCCATGGCCGAGAAACACCAAGTGCTACTGTTTGCTATGGCTCAGGCTTGGGTGAAGGATATCTGATCCACGTCTCACACACCACGTGGAGCGCCCCCCTTCACCTGTGGCTCGTCACATTTCAAAACCAGAATCTATATTTTTAGTTCTCACGCAATCTCTCGTTTCGCTTTTTTGCTCCGATTTATATTTAGTTGTTTTGTCTCCCATTGCCATTCCCTTCATTGCAGTTCGGTGACCCAGGTCACCCTTCGCGACTGAGACTCCTCTATCCCGATCTCTTGAGTTGTCACTTGGAAACCACAAAATAAAATGGAAACTTAAGCCACGCATCCCCGCGGGAGAGATCAGCTGATTGAGCCGCCCGCATTCAGGAGTCGTCGCTGCAGGAACAGCAGCTTCCTGCGTTGATTTGATCGTATTTTGCACACAAAAAAATAACACCAGAAAGGCAGAGACAATATCTCGGACCTCAATAGCAGATGCAAACCACAAAAACAGAGGGGTCGCTTAGCTTGCGAACACACCGCGGATGTGCGTAGCAGAGACGCGGCACGAAGCGTGCAACGGCCGCCTGAGTCGGGTCGAGTCGGCCAGGGATACTTCTTGTTGCGTTCGCTGCAGGGACCCGCGACACCGCGACACCGCATCGTGGACATCGAGAGATGGCGACGGAGTGGGGGGGGGGGGGACTTCGACGTCAGTCCGGGAAGCACGGGGATTGTTTCCTCGGCCACAACGCCGTGGCGGTTACGCAGTCTCTACGACGACGGCCGTCTCTCGTACGCAAACCATCAGAGACAAACAAGTCCGCTTATCACACAACGAATCGCAAATGTCACGGCCCCACAAATAAGGATTTGCGGAGAAGACCAATGAGGATAAGGAGAAGCTCGGGTGCGTGAAGAAAAGCGAGCCCTTGCGGACGGGACGTGTCCCTGCTTTTTGTGTGTAGTTTGTTGTCCTCGCCAGCACCTCCGCCTGTCACGGTTGGCTACGTACGGTGCGAAGGAAGTTCAACACACTGTACGTGTCCGTAGAAGGGTCGGCGATCGATGGGTGAAACCAGCAACAGAGCAGCTACCAGACGCAACAAACACAGAGAGTACAATCAAAGAGGAGACGGAGCGATGTAATCGGGGCAAGCGAGGGCCTGACAAATAGCGCAGCTGTCAACGGCTAATCTCAGGAGCTGCACGCAGAGGCCCTCACCCAGCACTCGGCCGAGCACTGCTTCTGCAAAGACATTTTCCAAAGTACATGCTTTTCCATGGTTTTTTATCGCACATACCGTTTTCAGTTTCGGTTAAATTATCACTTGATAAAACGCAATATTTAGCGCGAATTTTTTTGAGAAAGAGTCGAGCGGGAAAGAGAAAAATCTTTCCAAGAGATTTGAAATCAAATTAACCATATCTACATAATTGGGTGCTATTAAGGGGCGCTGGGGTAAACATTTCCTGTTGGGACGGAGCTGCAAGGCTACAAGCGCAACACCACGGTCATTAACGAACCCCCAGCAGGCCACAACCGCTGCAGCAGCAGCAGCAGCACGGACATCAACACAGCGCTGACGACAACAACCAGGCCGTAGTCCAAGCGACTCGCCAACGCACCGACGCTGCACCGCAATACCGGGAGAGAGACGATGGCAACTCGGGGAGGACTTCATCCAGCGGTTCATCATCTCCTGCCACTCGTCATCGTGGCAGGCGATGACGAGTGGCCGAGCGGATACCAGGAATCATTTCCACAGATGAATGCGGCTGATGGGATCTGTCGCAAGCACCTCCCGCCACATCGCACCAGCGGAGTGCCGCTTTGTGTGTGCGCGAGGAGAAGATCCCGCAGCATTTCCTGAACGAGCAGGCCGACTGCGTGTCCATGGCACGGGAGATAAATGTAAGATCACGCGCGTAATTACGTGCCGTGTTGCGATCGGATAACCGTTTCATAACCACCGGGTGGGTGATCGCGGTTGTGCCGTACGGCTCTCCGACGCGTTTCTGGGTCGTGCCGCACGTTGTTCGGCACGATGTCCAACGTTTCGCTCTCCGCGTGCCGCGGGAGCTTTCTCAGCGACACGGAGCACATCGGAGAGCCGTGCGGAACGATTCGTGAAATCCTACGCACGGTCACGTTCCTGGAAATCAAAGAAGAATCGCAGCGGTGAGCGCGGCTTGCAGCGGTGTCCAACCTCTATCACAGGGCAGCGCTGGACGCAAGGACGATGCAGCCGACACACGGTGACCCACACCGCTCGCGTGCGTACACGCTTCCACTGCAGCCCTTCACGCGCGAGGCTCACTGCCCCGAGGAGCGAGGAGAGGTTACGCGAACGGAAGCGGGGGTGTTTCGGGCCGAGTGCGCGTGTGCGTGCGTAGTGCCACAGGCTTTTTATGAAATATTTCCAACCCCCCGCTCTCTCCTCCCACATTCCCGCTCAGTCTGTTTCCCATCAGCCCCGAGTGGGGAATTACAGCGGGGACAGAGGCCGCCATGGGAAGTTACCCTCAGCGAGCAGCTCGGCGCTTACCGCAAACTCAGCAACAATTCCACCGAACCCCCCGTCCCGAGGCTAGATTTTCCTCTATTCCCACTTGAATTCTCTCGTGCAACTTACAGGCCATTGACAATCCATTGACAACGGGCTCTAAGTGGGGATGGGGGGCAGCCTCCTCCAGCTCCGGGCCGGAATGCCGGCGTTCGCTCTCAGCAGCAGCAGCCACCAACCGCGCTCGGCGATTCACGGAGGAACGCGGCCAACGTCTCGTCCATCCAGGACGCGCAAAGTTAAATGACGAGAACCTCTCAGGCAAATGTGGCGCCACCCCCCGCGAAGAGCGTGCCTGCAAAATAAGTCACGCTGATAAGTTAGGAAACATAACAAAGAAACGTAGCTTATCAAGCACGAGTTCGGATAACGGAGTTGTGACGGCGCAGAAACGATCCCGGCCCAACTGCTCCCTTCGGCCGCGTTGTACACGCGGCGATACCGCGTTGGCTTATCGCGTTGGCTTATCGCGCGAGCGAAGAAAAGAACGCACGACGCGTGGTGAACGAGGGAAGACGTCCCGGGGTCCGAGCGGCCACGAGATAGAATTGTTCTCAAGGACGCTTCTCGAATCAAAAGCCGCAAGCTGTATAAACACGCGCGCGCGGAGAGAGAGAGAGAGAAGGCGAGCGGGGATGAGCGAGCCGTGGAGCGGTTGTCACTGTGGCAATCGATATTAAAGTTGGCAGGGACGCAGCTCTCGGAACGCGAGAGAGCTGCGTGCGCGTCCACAACATCCGCCTGAGACGGACCGCGACCGCACGGGGCTCACTTGGGGTTTTTTTTATTTTATAGAAAGTTCAAATGCAGAAACACTCGATAAGACACGGCCCGGTTTCCGTGTGGGTCCCAGTGCGGGTGCCAGTGCACTGCCGTCACCTAAGAAACAGAAGGTCTCGCTTTCAAGATGACCGGCTGAAGTCTTGACCAGCGAGACGTCATCGTTGGGCGA